ACTGCAATTTCARCACTAGCGTCTTAGATGCATGAATAGGGATAACAAAAATCTGCATTTCAAATGTGACCCAATGACTTAACCTTGAAGGCAAAAGCAAGAAAAAAACAACTCTTCACTTCAYTGGTCACCTTCTCAAGGAATATTTTGATAAAACTCTTACAACTTACCAGTACTTGTCTGGGAGAGACCTCTGATTCAAAAGGCTGAAAACATATTTTGTTGTGTTATAAACAAAAGTGCTGAAAATGGTCATATGACCTGCTTTCCTGAGCTTGAATGAAACTAATCCTGTTAAAGCTTAGAAATATGCATGACTCAGTAGCCAAAGCCATGTGCATATTTGCCCTTGCAAAGTTGCTGCCACCTTTCATTGTCCAAAAGTGCTGTGTTGCTGATCCCTAAACAGCCTCTAGTGCTTYAGATTTCTTTCCAGAAATTAACTCAAAATATAGCATCCTAAACTTTTAATAAAAAGGAACTTTTAAAGCCAATTTTAAAATCTATCATGTATACAGTTCCCATTTGGATAAAGTAGATACAAAATTCTATTTCTGAGGTAAAATCAACAGCATTATAATTGTGCAATTCTACTACTTTGAAAACTTCTGGTTTTTTTTCCTACTCTCTCACTGTTGATTATCTACCTCATTATGTGCTCCACTCTTCCATCTTCTAATGAGATTAACAGTATTCTGTAACTGTTTACTACACAATTCTGGCTGCTCTGGAACTTAATGAATGTTAAAAAAGAAAAAAATAAATTAAAAAATAGTACCATGTGCCTAGAAGGATGATAGAATGATTTGAAAATCTCAGTGCAGTCATAAATGCACTAGATTTCAAGTATCATGMGCAAGTAATCACATATGTGATATCTAAATTCTAAATTCTAATTTCTCGGCTGTAAAATGAAAATGGTACACATCCTTTCTAAAACATGCAAGAGCACAATCCATCAGAYACTAAAATCAAAACCATACACAAATATCAACTAAAATAAACACTACTACTGCAAGAAATTGCCAAGATCCACAACAGAATACTTTTTTTTAGCATCTCTCTAAGTCTCAGCCAAGACAGGACAGCACAGAGCATAAGCCAGCTCCTGCAAGCAGTTCTCCAAAGACTGAAAGTGATGCATGCTAGGAAGAAACTTGCAGGCTATTCCATATGGCATACCAATGTTTCCATTCATAAATCCATCATCTTTTACAGCAAAGATCTCTGAAAGATGAAGTACTAAAAAAAGATAAGGAACTGGACAACCTTTGAGATATTCTGTCCTGGTTCACATTCACACTTCAGGTGCACAAATGCCAGTGCTGCAGAAGTGTCAACAAAGGCATCATACAATCCCTGCCTTCTTCAGAGAGAGATGTTTAACATAAAGAAGTAGGAAAGCTTATAAGCTTCACTTTTTCAGCATCAAAGACTGATAATAATCAATTTCAATTACTCTTCAACAGAAAGCCGTTGTGGTTGACAGAAGAGCCACTGGAAAGTTTGTCCCATCCCTGTACAAACAGGGGTGCAGCAAACAACAAAGGAGAAATATCTGGCCCTCTAAAAATAAATCTTAAAGGAAAAAGGAAAGAAATCTGTTTCTCCCAATGAAAGAAAGTACAATCTGCAATACCAACATGAAAATGGCAGGGATTCTAAAACCCTGACAGATGCAAAATAATTAGTAATTTCTTAGAATAGTATTACATTCTTATTTCATGCTCCTTAAAGGGAGTAACATCAACAAGCAAGAGGGTTAGTGATTCTCAACATTTTTCAATGCTGCAAACAGGCACATTTACATTCCTTGTTAGGGCCCCCTTGGATGACACCTGGTATCCTCAAAGAATGTACCTAAAAGATCAATGGACTACCACTTTGTACCTTGGCACACACAGTGGAAAATTGTAAATGAAAGTATAAACAATTCTGTTTCTTGGTATTGCATAGGTTGATTTGATTCAATATAAAAATAAGCAAACACAAGGTATATACAAGTGACAGGCATTYGAAGATTTCACAAATTTACAGACTACACCTGTGTATCTATTTATATTTACACATTCACAAAACTCCAGGGAAGTAAAGTTTTAAAACAGATCTGAGAGGTCTGTGAAGCTACCCACAGGCCTCGTGAGTCACACCCGCGTTCTCAGGGTCAGTGCCAACATATAAATAGCATTTTCTCTGTATTCATTGTGCAGTTGATGGGATGCATCACTGAATTCAAGTTTCTAGTGCTGTGCTATTTTGAATCTCAGACTAGACGATTCTGTTTCTTAATTCCAGTAAAAYTTACTTTCTACCCTGATCAAGGCTYAAGAACTCAGTGCTGGTGAATATGAGAGTTGCATTTTGACACTGAAAAATGTGCCTCTTTTAACCCCTCTAGTAAACATATTGAAGGATTTTTTTGTGGTAGTTTAATTCCGGCATATTCAGATTGAATGATCTTGTATCTTTRTGAAAGGCTTTTTTTATACAAGACATTTACCATCCTTTTATCCTGGAAGCCATTACTTTTTAGCATATGGTATTCAAATTCACAAATAACAAGTTACTATWATAAAAAATGGCATTTCGGGTTTTTCCATTGAAACAGATTTTAATGTACAGTGATTTCAAGTGCAAATGCATTAAAAGATGCAAGTGTATATGAAGGTATTTAAAACAGYTTCCTAGACCCTGGGCTGGGTATTTCATGAACAGAATGCTGATGAAGACATTTCGCTCTGGACAGTTACACAAAGAAAAATTAGTTGAGAGTGTAGTCTATACTTGTAATATAAAAATGTAAAGAACCATCTCCTCAACTGCTTAACATGTTTCAGCTGAAACGAATTTTTCCTGTTTTTTTTTTTTCGTTTTAGATTACATTATTAGGCTGTTAACTTAGGACACACTGCCTGCCCTTGCTGCTGCCTTTTCCTTCCTCCATGACAGGATTCCTAAAGACATCCACCGAGTTATCTCAGTGTGCTTCATCAACCGGAACTAAAGTCAACCCAGTGACAGATAATTTTGGCCAAAACCTAGTGAGCCCTGGAAGCAACTCAAAACAGACGACTCAGGTAGGAGCCCCAAGTTAAACCTGGCAAAGCTGCCTTAGGACTGAAACATCTGCCATTACATAATGAATCCTTCACTAGGAATCTCCTATTCTCCCTGTTTCCACTCAGCTGAAGAAAGGCATGCCAGATACTCAGACATTAATGTAAGGTCCGAAAGGCTGGAAAAAGACTGACTGAAGCCAATATAGTGAATACCTCTACTTCTACCCCAAGCTGACAACAAAAATTCYGAGACTTGAGAAGGAACAACTTAGTAAGCCGGAAACCCAGGAACATTTCCTCCAAGCATGTATTTTCAATCAATTGTGCACCTGGATTTTCAGTAGTTTAATCCCAATTTCCTGGGAAATGTCAGGCAAAACAGTGGAAGTTGTTGCCAAAGTCAAAACACTGAATATATTGTTTATTTAAACCTTCTTGTCATCTTACAGAAAGAACTTAGGCCCGCTTGACAAGACCACTCTTGAAATTTTCTTAGCTATTAGTTAGCTCTCTTCTGTCAGGTACAAGCTTGTCCACCAGTTCAACTGTACAAAACCCCACACTAATTAGGCTGAACAGATGTTTAATATCCATTTTCAATAATTAATCACTCTGTGCTTATCTAGCCTTGTCTTCACTACCAAGACAAATCTTCCATAACTAGTACTAGAAACCTGTATGGCTCTGCATCCATTACAGAAACAGCTGCTCAGTTTGGTATCAGTTTCAAGGTCAACACATAGCAAGCACATTCCTCATCCACCGAAATAACTGTCTTTGTGAAATACTTACTGTCAAATAATGTTAAAGTCTCTGTTAAAATAAGAAGAAGCCAAGAGAGAAATTCCTTTGGAAACCACCCTCCCGGTTTCCAGAAACGCACTTAGAGCACCACCTATTCAACACAAAAAAAACAGGCTTCCCTGTTCTCACAAGCACCAGGTACTACAAAGTAGCTATCTTGCTTTGGATCAGAAGAAGCCTGGCATTATCTTTCATTCTGTATTGAGTTGCTCTATATTGAAAGCTGTCAAAACATTCAACCAAAGGATTCTTTTGRTAAGTTACAGAAAAAGTGACATTTTACATAATCTGTGTTGCTTATCTGTTACTGTAACTGTTATTTTCCTTTTGTAGCATCACATGAAGATGAGATAGTAATGAACTGAAAAGGCAAAGGAATGCAGCTGATAGAAATTTCCATCCCTCCTTTCAATTTCAAGAGACAATTGATTGACATAAGTCAATGCACCTGACTTCATTCTCATAAATACTAGTCTCAACTCACAGTCACKTCCTATCCAAAGRAAAAGATAATAGCAATTCTCAAGCTGATCAAACATTAACATCAGTAGGTASAGTAAGCCCCAATTGAAGACTTACTGAAAATGGGACTGTGTTCCATCTATGTACCACAAAGAAAGCAATAATACATGATAGTTTCCAGCCTATACATGGTATTTGGGACAAATATTTGTATATGTCATCGAGTATTTCCAACAAGTTGAGCTGCAAAAATTAAATCTTGTCTGATAGCATTATACTGTGAAAATTCCCTAGCAATAGCTGGACAAAAATCTAACAAGTAACAGCCTGCAACATGTGCCAAAAATATATTCATGCTAGAAAACACATCAACTAGTTGCAGACAAAGCCCTTAACTTCCAAAACTGAACACCAAGGGAAAGGCTTGAATTAGATAAGGGAATCTCTGAAGCCTAGATAAGACAACAAAGTATCCGTGCTCTCCCTATACTTAGGACTCTCCCAAAGAAAACAGTAGTAAGAACAGGTAAAATGAAAAATAAACAGCCTGCTTGGTCAGCACAAAATTAACATTGTCAAATGTAGAAGGGCAACAGTTCCCTCCYAGTTTTATTTAATACATGAATTACTGTAACTCTTACAAACATTTAAGTAGGAAATAAAAATAGAATTTACCTTTGAATGTCTCTAGTTCCTTCCTGTTGGAGAAGAGCAGAATTAAAAACRTAATTAGAAATAGTATATCTAGAACTACAGCATTTATTTTAAAAAACAAAAATCAAAGAATTTGATTATCACAATCTAAAAGGATAATATTACTACATGTATTTATCTAAAGCAAACAAAATGTGTTTAGAAATTAGGCCACCACCTCTCTATATATAAAGATGAACAATTATACAAATATTGCACATTTATGTCTAGCTATGTAATTTCCAGATACACTGCTCCAAAAATAACCAAGACTTCTTAAGGCTTTAGTTACTAAAGTGTTCTTTGCTTAGCAGAGATTTGCCAATTTACAGCACAGTGAATAACAATTAGTGTCCCACTTTCATCAATGCTATTCAAAAACATTTTGGCAACACTGAAGGAAAAATATTTGACAATATCATTCACTCAGTTAAAACAGAGAGACAGGCAAAGAGACATACAGTTATATTCCTCAGGGGAGAGGATTTTCAATATGGAATATGACAGATAACCCAGAGTACTAATGTACCAGAAAGCTAAGAAGTTATGTAAAAAAATAATAACTTTTTTGCCTTTCTTCCAAGCCACCTTCCACTTTTAGTAGTTATGCAATCATAAATTGAGAGGATATAAAAYGAAGGGAAACATTTTCTCTGTTTTAAAGAAATTTTGAAATACTCCAATCATCATTACTACAAGACAGTGATTTAACATAAATTTAAAGGCTAAAGAAGAATCAATGTAATAGCTTAGATAAGGCAGAATACCAGCCTTACAAAACACTAATTTACATAAAACATTTTTTCAGTCTGTACCTTGTAGAATGCCTAGTTAAAATCTGAATTTTGAAGCAAAAGTGACTATAAGAAAAAAAAATTAAAGACTGAATTAACAGTTCTCCAGATATATTATTCTATTCACCATACACAGACTAAAGCACTCTTCAGTCACTTACCAGAGACACTGTTTCACAACACATATACTACACCATAAGTAACTCTTCTACCTCCTAACAGATGATGCAATTCAGCATTTATTCTTGAATTGAGAATAGATAACTCTTTCAAAGCTGAAACAATTTATTTTCTAAGCAGGACAAAGTATTCTAAAAGAAGCAAGAGAATGCATTTACCTCCACATTTTCAGAGAACACCCCACTTCTGTCACCAAATGTTAAATACAGGTTTTTGAAAGAATGGGTGCTTTACCAGGAAATAAGCTATACCRTGATTCACAGTGAAGAATTCTATTAGTTGCAACTTCCTGTGAGTATCTATTTCCTTTCCTGCTTCTTCTCCATCCCTTTCCCAAGCTAGTTTCTCCCTTTTTTATCAGAGAAAAAACCTACTTTACAATACTTTACAAAGTGATTTTCACGTTCATACCCTAAAAAAATTTTCCTACCCTGCATACTTTTAATTACAAAATCTATATAAATGAGGTCTATTATATCTCAAAATATAATTACAAAATCCTTAAACACTCTCACAAATTGCACTCCTTATTTTTATTAATGACACAGTAGTTGAAAAAACAACAATCACAGGAAATGCTTGTTTTCCACAGATTGAAACAAAACCATACGGGAGGAAACATCTTGTGAAAGTAAGAGGAGAAAAACTATATTAATTGCACTTAAAATCAGGAGATTTTACAACACTTGTCTACAAAAGGAAAGATGAAACAATTACTGCCATTGTGTGGAAATAGGTTAGAAAACAAGATGGCAATACAGTAACCAAGTAAAAATCACTGATTTTGTCTAAACCCCGAGAATTTTTCTTTTCAAAATCCATCAATATTTTTAGGTTTGAGATACATCAAGATGATGTCCCTATATCCATATACATAATTACCATTCATTAAGAAAGTTGGAAATTAATATTTGACTAATTTTTTTCCGATACACAACTCTGAAAAATTAAAAATATCTATGATTAGCATACAGTAAAAACACAGATACGTAATTTAAGGATCTGTACTTCCTAGTATCCTCATACCAATTCAGACACAAAGACTGAAGATTTTGTATTCTACACAGCATAATGCAATCACATCTTGTGGTTTCTCACAATACTTTCAATAGAACTTACTTCTAGAAATATATACTAAAATACATGCTTATTGAAAACATGYTCTGCATCAGAAGCATGGAGGATTTTTTTTTATTTATTAAGGCAAATTACCCAAATAAAAACTTGGAAGGTTTAAAATTTTAATCCTAAATCTCATGTATCAGCAGCTTTGGTAAGAACATGACACTAAACTAAAAAGTGGAAAGCAAACTATGACTTTTAATGACACTGGAAAAACAGATGGCTTAAGAGTATATCAGTACATTTTCTAGCTGTGTAATTAAGAACTTGCAGAGAGATGTACAGAGAAAAATGTATAACGGAGTATTACACTTCTCCCCTTCCTAAGTAAATAATTATTTTTGTACTTATTGATAAACTATCAGAGGGAAGATACCCCCTATGTCTTATCTAAGAGTCTAGAGACAAAAAGTGATCTGCAGAATATACTGAACTCACTWTAAAAAAGAAGCTACCTATTTGGAATACAGACAATATAAAGAAACAGCAATTAGAGTAATTAAACAGTAAGTAACAGTTGGAGTAATTAAAACGAAAAAGATTAAACTGAAAAGAGTTTTGGAAAAGTGGCCTTCAAAGCAAGGTTAAAACACAAGTAGGAGAGAACACATAAGGCAAATGAAAGTGTTCCATAGGGAAATGTTCCTGGATTTTAAAGAGTTTTCATCCAAAAGAACATTCAYGCACTTCACAGGTGGACAAGATAACCCTTTCCACTACTATTAGAAGGAAAACACATGCCTGCCTTGCCTCTGGCCTCGCTACACATGAAGGTTCTTGAAGCCCAGTGTGGCTCGTCAGCATCCGCCCAGGATTAAAGGAACTCCCATGCTGAGTCTGATCACTAATCAATACAACTATCTGGCATCTGACTATATGCTCTTCAGCTACTAAATTTTAGGCTACTGATGACAAACCTGGCTAGCTGCTCATATAAGAGTACATTTTACCTTTTTACAGTTAGCAGTAAATTTTCAGAAGAAAGGACTGAATTAGGAGGCACATTTTAATATAAATAGCTCTTTTCAGTGAAAGATGAAGTTCAGCACCTCTGAGCAAGAAAAAAGACTAAAATAACAGGCTAAAGACTAATAAAATCAGACTATAAAGGCATGGAGACACTTCAAAAGAAATCTTGTTCTGTATGCAGTGCAACTCAGAATTCCCAGCTTCTTTCATGAGAGGCAAGAAGTTGTACAGGCTCCCTGGACACCAGGTTATGTCCATGAAAACTGTTTGGTCACACATATACCCAATAATGTTAATCCCTGCATTTCCAGTTGCTTGTTTTCAGAAAAAAAAAAAAAAAAAAAAAAAAAAAAAAAAAAAAAAAAAAAAGAGTGGGGACTTAATTATTCCATGAAATTCTATACACATCAAACACAGTTACCAGTGTTTTAGATAACTGGAATGTTCTAACAATGATGCTGTCAGTGATCTCAACTTCATTTACAGAAAAGTTGAGATTCACTGTTTGTGGTGAGAAAATATAACTGTGGAGACAAGAGGTGAAACAAACCATCTACAGTATACTACTTGTTCCACAGAGTAGCTGACAKGACCAGTTAAGAGTTACTAGTTAAAAGGCAAATACAAATCCCAAAGTACCTTCCCATTCCCCACAGGGAAGCTTTTCATTGCATTGTTGGATTAACCTTGCTTTAGTCACTGAGCAGATGAGAGGGACATTACAAAGGTTGTACTGGTATCACTGACAAACAAAAATAAATCCAGAAATCAGAATATGGGAAGACGAGGAGGCAAAACTATCTTGCTTTAAGTTACTGAGATCAGTAAGAATTTTGCTTGCTCAACAGGAGTTAGAAAAAGTTCTGAGGTTCTACCGTATCTTGCACAGGGCTGTAACACTAAGATTAATTTTCTAAGTGTAACAAATCATCAGGGAATTCAGTTAAATACCTAGAAGACTACAGAAATATAATATTATTTACAAACATACCAGCAGCCAGAATAGGCAGTTTCATGTTTTATCTTCAAGAAAAGAATTTGGCAGATAAGAAAGCAGCAAAGTCATAAATGARTATCAGGAACAATTCTACAACACTAGCTCTAAAAAGTAGAGTCAGTCAATAAATTCCAACTACCAGACTCAAACAAAAAACAATCTCAAAACAGCCTATGAATGGTGAAAATTAAGGCTAAATTTGAAAGCTTTTACAATAATGGGTTAATAAATGTTTATTTAAAAAAATACATTTAAAGAAAGTACAGATGCTTATCARCAAATTAAGCTAAAAATATTTATGGCACCTAACAAGATCCAAAGTAAAACCTGAGAAATGCTGCATTTYATCTGCTGTGTCCAGGACAGTTACGTTTTTAAAATGATAGATTAAAAAAATTTCCTTCCATAGCCTGACTGAAGCTTTAGAAGCTAAAAAGCCATGAGATCTTTCCTCTSGAACTTTTATCTGGATGTCATCAGAAGCAAAAGACAAAAACCWAAAACTAAAAACTGTATCACTTGAATGGTGCAAGAAATAATTCAGGTTAGGTTTTGGTTGTTCTTTTGGTATTTAGGATTAGCACTTGTGTGAATCCTGAAAAAAAACCGTTTTCCCATCCCCGAGATTCGTTGAGCACCCCTTTCAGAGACTTAGGCCAAGTACTAATTTGAAATACATCTGAAACTGAAGTAATGGAAAAGCTGTAAGTATTGAAMTACCAGTAAAAACTAACACTGTTACTAAACTACTATTGGAATTGAGCAGCACAGTTTCTATTCATCTGAAGAAACACTGAAGGCAGGTCAGGATTCTTCTCCATAAAAGTGACATTTTATCCAGTAAAAGAAAAGAGCAAAGAACTAAGGCATTTAAACAATATTGCAATGGTGATCTTTTTGTCTCCATACTCATGCAGATACAGAAGTAGCTGAAGTCTGTATT